TTTTTTTTTTTGTTGTTTTGGTATGTGTGTATGGTGCTGGGGATTGAATCCAGAGCTTTGTGCATGCAAGGCAAGGACTCTACCAACTAAGCTATATCCCCAGCCYGGTACTTAATTTTGCTGGGTATAGTGTTTGTGGCTGGCCTCCATTCTCTTTCAGAGTTTGGTATTTATTATTCTAATACCTCCTAGCTTAAAGGGTCTAGGTTTAGAAATTGGCTGAGATCTGGTTTGGATTCCTTCTAAATGTTACCAGTTGCTTTTCTCTGGAAGCCTTTAAAATTCTGTCTTATTCTGTATGTTAAGTATTTTTGTAATAATGTGCCTTGATGTGGCTCTGTTGTAATTTTGTATATTTGGGGTCCTGTAAGCCTCTTGTCTTTGGTTTTTCATTTTGTTCTTAAGGTTTGGGAATTTTCTGATATTATTTCATTGAAAAGATTGCATATTCCTTTGGTTTATATCTCTGAGCCTTCATTTATCCTAATAAATTTTAAGTTTAGCCTTTTCATGTTACACCATATTTGTTGGAATTTCTCTTCATGGTCTTTTAACATTTTTCTCCAGGGTCAACTTTATTTTCTAGATTATATACTTTGTCTTCATTGCCTGAAACTCTGTCTTCCAAATGGTCTAGTCTATTAGTGATGCTTTCAATTAAATTTTTAATTTGTTTTAGTGATTCCTTTATTTTGAGGATTTCTGATTCTTCTTCAAGATCTCTATCTCCTTGTTGAAATGTTCTTTGATTCTTGTTTTTCTCTCTGATTTTATTTCTTATGTCACMTTTTACTTTGTAGATCAATTTAACCATGAACTTTCTGAATTTTATCTCTGACATTTTCTCCTCTATGGTGTCATTGGAGTCTACTGTTGAGGTATTTTGGGTTGTTTGTTTCCTTGCTTTTTCATGATTTTTGTGTCTGCATGTTTATCTAGATGGATCTGATGCTGTAGAGTTTATACCTTATGGGTTTAAAATGTCACTCTATGTTACTAGTACTTCACAGATTGGGGCAGGGGAGCCCAATGATAGCAACAATGTATGCAAATAATATATAGCAGTAGCCTTGATCCTTTTTTCTTATTTTCATACCAGTATAATTGGTACAATATGTAGGGGCAGTGGGATCAGAAATTTCCATCAGTAAAAACAGTACATTATCATGTATTATGTGTGGCTTAAAATCAAACAATAAGTGTTGTGTATGCTTTCCACTGTATTAATTATTGATGTGACATTGGTGGTAGGTCTAGATGTTATACACTTCAATTAGTATTAAGAAGTATTAAGGATAGAGTTGAGTATGTGTGAAGAAGAAGAGATAGGAGGGTACAAAAGTGTTTGAAATGTCAAAGGGTGAATAGGGCAGATGCAGTGGTAACTTAGGATATGTTTGTTAGTTTGAAAGGGGATGAAAAATAGAATATAAAGGAGGAGAAAGAGAATGGAATTTGGGTGTCAAGAATAGAGAAATGAGAGAGGAAAACAAGGGAGACAGAGCAGTGATAAAGATGATACAAAACAAAATCAAAGTAAGCTAATCATAAGCCCTAACCCTCAAAATACAGAGCATGGGAAAATAACACCTTGAAAAAACTCAAAATAACAACAACAACAAAAAGAATGAAAGAGAGGAAAATAAAAGAAAGAAGAAAAAAGAAAAATAAGGATAGAGAAACAAATATGAATATGTGTAGGAGTCCTTGAATCAGTCAGTAGTCATTTAAATAAAACAAGAATCCAATATGGAACCCCCAAATCAAAAAGCAAAACAGAAATGCTGCCACAACAAACAAGCCACAACAACACAAAGAGAATTTTTGTGAAATGTCAATAAATTAAGGAGTCATATCCATTATGGTGGACAAAATAGTTTCTGTATGTGTTCACTGACTGTGCCCACCTGCTTTTCTTTTTACTTCTTCTTGAGGTATGATCAAACCTTGCAAGTACGGGCCATGGATTGTGTCTCCTTCCTTTTATTGTGTTGCTGTGTTGAAGGTTTGAGTTTTAGACTTCCTAATTTACCTTCTTGGGAGATTTTCCTTCTTTGGGGGCAAGTTGAGGCCCAGTCACATAAGGGGCCCACCTGTTTTATGCCAGGTGGATCGAGGCCAGGCACTAGGACCTGTCGGCTGGCTGCAAAGCTGAAAGCAGTGGGCCAAGTCAGGGGCCAGGGTGGGTTTGGGAAACTATGGAGTGGGGCGCCAAGGGCCCTGTTGGGTGCCAGACTGATACTGAACCTGGTGGGTCTCAGGGACTAGCTGAACTGGGGAGGGATTCAGGGACCAGGCTGGTGCTGGGACCTGGTGAGTGCTGGACCAGCTGGCTGGCTGAACCGAAAGCAAAATGTCCTCTTCCAGCTTCCCACCCACGTAAATGGACCCATCAGTCCCCATGAACCTCAGGACTTGAGAAGTTGGGGAGAGCCCAGCTCTCTCCAGCCCCTCTAAACTGGTTTCCCTGGGTGAAATGCTCCCAGTTTCTGACTTTCCACAGGTTTGCTAGGCTCAGAGAGGCTCACACAGWCCTAGCTGCAAACTCACATATCTGTTTCTGTAGGTTCTACCACAAGGAAGTCCCAAGATGGCTCCTGAATCAGCTTTAAATGGAGGATTGATAAACTCTGGTGGAGATTTTTTTTTCTTTTTTCTTTTTTTAAATATCTGATTAATGAGTCAAACAGTCTCCGGTTTGGCTAGGGCAGACTGCCCCTCCAGTCTCAGGACTTTTCACTCTGAGCCTTGGGGAGATGTAATATTCCTGCTGTTTGAGTTCTGGGTAGCTAAGAGAAATGCTGTCTCATGCTAATATGCCACCTTGCCCCTCTGGTTTAAATGAATTTTTTTTTTTTTTTAGAGAGAGAGAGAGAATTTTAATATTTATTTTTTAGTTTTTGGCGGACACAACATCTTTATTTGTATGTGGTGCTGAGGATCGAACCCAGGCTGCACGCATGCCAGGCCAGGCRAGCGYGCTACCACTTGAGCCACATCCCCAGCCCTTAAATGAATATTAACATCTAATTAAAGATTCAAGTAAAGGATGACTAATGTAATCTTATTTTACTCATTTACTTATTTTACTCAGTTCTTTGGAATTAGTTGACACTTCCTTTGTGGCTCAGTACTGTGGTAAGTCTTGTAAATGCTAAAAGTGTATACTTGAAAAGATACTAATTTTCCAGATGTTAACAAGCAAGTCTTTCCTAGGACTCTAACTGTTGAACAGTTTGTTTTATGAATGAGAGAGGAGAATTGGAAAACTCTTTTATGGGAAAGAGGGAGAAAACTGCTTGTAGTGGATAGAAACATGAATAACCCTCAACGATATATTCACTTTTTAACCCCTAGAAATCTTGAATATCTAACATGACAAAAGAATAAGTATTGTATTATATGGAAAAAGATGTGATTAAGAATCTTAAGAGGAGCTTATCCTAGACTATCCAGATTTTAATGCAATCACTGCTATGTGCAATTATCTTTTACCCTAGTTTGTCATTTGTCTTTTAAATTCATAAACTGTACTTTTTAGCCACTTAAAAATCCTTTCTTTGGTGGCTTCTGGATTTTGAGACTGAATTTTAAATGCTTTTTGTACTCTAAGGAAACAAAGGACATTGTGTTTCTTTGAATATATATTTTAAAATATTTTTATTTGTAGATAGACACCTTTATTTTTATAGGTGCTGAGGTTCAAACCCAGTGCCTCACCCATGCAAGGCAAGCTCTCCACCACTTGAGCTACAACCCCAGCCCTTCAATTATTTTTATGTTTTAATTTTTTTTGCATTTAAATTCTTTGATCCTTGTAGAGTTTATCCTGGTAAATAATGTGAACCATGGTTCCAACTTCATCTTAATCTAGATGGCTGGGTAATTTCCCCAATAATATTCATTAAAGAATCTATTCTTGCCTCCAGGCTTATGATGTATTAAATGCTCAAAGAATACAATTCTATTTCTGGTCTTTCTACACTGAGGCAGTACCACAATATTTTAATTATTGCAGCCTTATGACATATTTTAATTGTTAGGGGGATATTTCTCCTTTACTGCTATTGCTTTTCAATATTTTTTCTAGCTAGTTCTGTTTATTTTTCCATGTGAAGCTTAAGATCCACTTTCCCAAAAACAAATTTAAAGACCCTTTTCTTATTTTAATCAGGTAGCATTTTCATTCATAAATTAACATTTAGAGTATTTAAATATTTATGATGTTAAGTTTTTTTCAGATGTTATAATACTAGAAATGTGTTGTATTATTCAGTCATTTATGTTTTTACTTCTGCCCTTCAGTCACATTATAAAGTTTTCCTCATACAGGTTTTATACATTTCTCATATTGGTGCAATGGTCCATTGGTATCTGTTCCAGAACCCCTGAAGATACCAAATTCCATGAATCCTCAAGTGCCTTATAGAAAATGGCATAGTATTTGCATATAACCTTTATACATCCTTCCATATACTTTAAATCATGTCTAATTACTTGTAACACTTAATACAATGTAAATGTTATATTAAGTAGTTGTTATACTATAATATTTAGAGGATAATGACATGAAAAAAAACTATGTATTTTCTGTACAGATGTAATTTTCCTTTTCAGATATTTTAAAATCTGCTGTTGATTGAATTCCTGGACACAGAAGTCATGGATACAGAGGGCTGATTATATGTTCACATAAGTTTTCTATTTCTCATTAAGTTATTGCTCTTCTAAATGGGGTCTTTCATTTCCCTATATATTTTATTATGTAAATGTTAAGTACATTTTTAAAAAGAATGTATTCTATTGGKGAAAGATACTCAGCAATTTTTGCATATTTTACTTCCTCTTCTTTCATATTCTTAAATAACCTCTACCACGTTTTACTGTGACTTTCTGGCTGTTCCCTGTTTTAACTTATCATTACTTAAMATTCTACAAAATATTTCCCCATAGGTATATAACTCCCTTTGACTTAACATTAAATTCAAATTTCAACTGACCATTTAAACTCTTCTTTCTTCTTTTTAGCCATTATTAAAACTCTCTTCAGAGACCTCAGGCCAAAATCATAATGATCCTATCAAACAGTAAAATATTAGTTATTAGAGGTTTTCAAGGAAAAAAATAGAACAATTTGAAAACAATTACATAAATTAYTGATTATCTATGCTGTAAAGGGAAGCAGCAATATGATTCCAAGAAACCTTAATTCTACTTCCAATGTTCTCATTTCTCTTGCAAACTGGTGCTTCTAAAAGTCCATTTCTTTTCTATTCCTCCCTCTCTCCATCCATCCCTCCTCCTTCTCCTCCCTTCTTTCTCCCTCCTA